GACCGAGAACCTCTGCCCAGTCTGCTTCCTAGCCACTTGCAGGAACCCTGGAACGCTTCAGCCCCAATCACCGAAGCTTGACTGGGCACCCTCTGGAGCTTTTCCACCCAACCAGGCTGCAGCTCTCCTTCCACTCAGATATAGTCCCCTCTGTCTCTTCCGCTGCAGTCCTTCTTCCAGGCAGGTATCCACATCCATCTGCATTGTTATAGCTCTTGTCTTTAAAAAGACACTTGTGGCTCCCAGGTCTAGCTCTCTTACTTTATCACAGGGCTAGAGGCACCCCACAACCAGCAAAACAGGACAAAAGCCTCTGTCACTGGGATCTTTACAAATCCACACAGGACACAAGTTCCAAAAGGAACTGACATACTTTTTTTTTTCTTGGGACTAGCCCATATGACTATTAAGTAAACATTGCTGTGACAACTCAATAAAAATACAAACAGTCAAATCATAGCAGACAACATACAGCAACTTATTATAACACAGTGACATATTTATAAAGGGGTGGGGAAGACAGTAATTAACAGAAAATATTTGTCCTGCCTGCAGAATTAGCAATATGCAAATGTACCCAAATATGCAAATTTACCAGTCTTGCTATTCAGGTAGTGCATATTGCTATTGCTACCAACATAGAGCACTACACAGGCACCATAGCTAAATCCACCTAGTTGGTAGCAATCCTCAGCAGTACAGGAGAACAGGCAAAACATTTAACAGTATAAACACACACTTTATAAACAATTACATTACACACACCCTGCACCTACAGTGGGTACAGGGTGACTAAAACATAAGAAAGTCCAGCAACCTACATAAATAGTCTGTCTGAAGGTCCAGGTGATGGCGACTACCCGTCACACACCATAAGCAGTACAACTCGCTGTTGTAGTTATGGTGTCAGAAGTGCCCCCATGGCCCCCAGACAATTGTAAGTAGTGAAACAATTTTTGAAAGGTTTGACTTCTTACTTAAGGTCTGTCCCTGTGGGCCGTTAACACTACTATTGCCAGAGAGCTGGACGAGCACTGCAGGGCTTAGCTGGTTGACTGAGAGCGATGTCCTGGCCAATACCTTGCTAATATTGAAACTCTCTATCTATGTGCCTGGGGGAGGGAGGGGGGGGAATCTATAAAATATATATGTATATAAAATATATTTATATTCATACATATGTCTGTGGGATTGTGTT